TCTGTCTCTTATACACATCGCCAACGTTTTCCTACGAGACTCTTATCATTTCAAGATGAGCAGCCTCGCGTCGACATCGATGAACGAGGACGGACTCGATTACATCTTTGTGGAAGGGAACGTGTCGGATGATCTGACGTGCGGCGTTGTCTTCTCGCCGTCCGACGAGCGGTGCAGGCGCCGTGCGGCTGCAGGTTTTGCGAAGCCTGCATCAAGGGACGGACGCCCGGCTGCGACGGCGGGAAAAAATTACTCTGTCCGAACTGCGAAGAAAAGTTCGCCGAAGAGGATATCGCACCCGATCATCACGCACGCCGGAAAATGTCGAAAGCTCAGATATACTGTCCCCACAAGGATCGGGGGTGTTCGGAAACGTTCGCGCTGAAAGAACTCGGACGGCACCTGGAATTTTGCAACTACTTTCCCGTCGCGTGCATGCATCGATCGCGAGGGTGTGCGACCAAGCTGCCACGCAAGGATCTGCAGAGACATCTGGAAAACGAGTGCGAACATCGTTCGGTCGAATGCACTTTCTGCAAGTCACCCTTCCCGCATCGCGACGTCGAGGCGCACCGACGGAGTTGTCCTAAATTTACTGTGTCTTGTCCGAACGACTGCGGAGCGGATGACGTTCGAAGGGAAGAGTTGAGAAAGCATCTGGACGAACGATGCTCTCGGCAGAAGAGATGCTGCAAATTCGAATTTTACGGGTGCGATTTCAAGGTAGGTTATTATATATCTACATTTTTTTAAATGAAAGTTCGTTCGAGATTGCTTTATGCAAAGAATACCAACGAATTATTTTTTTTTCGACTTTCTCAACTTCAGTGCGTCAATGCGAAAATCGAAAAGCACGCTGAAGAGGGAGTCCAAAGCCATCTCGACATGACCGTGATGGCGGTAGCGCGGTTAAACGCCGATTTGTCAGGAGCCGTTAGCAAAGTCGCCGAACTGAAAAGTCAGATGGACATCCAACTTCGAAAATTCGGCCGGGTCGACGAACTGGAAAGTCGGGTGGAAGCGGACCACCAGAAAAACGAAGAGCTTGCGAAGCAGATAGCATCCATCAAGCTGACGCATAAATCGAAATACGATCGTCTCGGTAAATTGCAGGTAACCGCAGTTTGATATTTATTATTTGTTTTTCTTTAGCTTCGAATCGCTCGGAAATTTTAATGAAATGTTTTTCTCTTTCGTTTAAGAAACTACTGGCGGGGCAAGCGGACAATATTGAAACTTTGGAAAGTACGGCGAAGAAAGACAGAAAAGCGAACGAAGACATCCGACGGACGGTCGATTCGTTGCACGGATCGACGACAGCGTTGGCGAAGAAGGTGGAAGAAATGGGAGCCATCGGTGGAACCGGGGGAAGAGGAGGAGGAATACTCCGCGGACTCGCGCAACAACAGATTTCGAACATGAAGAAGGAAATGGACATCCAATCCGCACAGCTGTCGGAACAGAATTTGCGTTTTCAGATTCTGGAAACAGCCAGCTACGACGGCGTGCTGATGTGGAAGATAAATTCCGTGCGTATGAGGAAGCAGGAAGCGGACAGCGGCAAAATCGTATCCCTTTACAGCCAACCCTTCTACGCCGGTCGGTTCGGATACAAGATGTGCGCCCGAATCTATCTGAACGGCGACGGAATGGGCAAAGAGACGCACGTTTCCATGTTCTTCGTCGTCATGAAAGGAGATTACGACGCCCTACTCAAATGGCCGTTCGATCAAAAGGTGACGATGCTGCTGCTCGACCAGGACGACGGAAAGCTCACGCTCTCGGACAGCTTCAAACCGGACACCCGAAGCAGCAGCTTTAAAAGACCGACCGGCGACATGAACATAGCTTCCAGATGCCCTCTCTTCGTTTCTCAGGACATCCTGAAAAATTCCGTTTACGTCAAAGACGACACCATGTTTCTGAAGATGATCGTCGACACGACAGGTCTGTACGTTTGACGTCACAGCAAGTTAGATGACGTAGTACGCACGTCATTCGAGTTTCCGTTTTTCCACCTAATATAAGCGACGAGGCAATACAGAGACAGTCGAAAACGATCAACGAGACGATGAACAAGATACTGTTGCTCTTTGCTCTGTGCACCATAGCCTCCGGCACGCACTGCGAGGTCGGGAGATTCGCATGCATGTTAACGAGTCGGTCCGGTTATTCTCTGTCCGTCGGCGCGAATACCACGACGCAGGGTGACGCCGAATACTTGCAGAGATTGTCGGCTACGCTCAACAGCTTCACTATGCGGTCATGCCGCTCCGGTAGATACCTGTCCTCGTAAGTAAACGGAACGATAACGGCCGTTGACGAGTGCGAAGGGATCTCTGTCACTGGCAGAAGACACAGTCGTGGAAAGGTAGCGCGTTCAAGAATATGGCCACCGGACGTTACCTGTCCATAAGAAAGAACGGCGAACCGTCCTCTTCCTGCTCTTCGAAAGCATCGAGAAAAAGAGCCAACTTCATCTTGCACAGTTGTAAAGTTGTTGTTTAAAATCCAAGAGATGAAAAAAAATATGTAGATAGAATGTAGAAAAAATAAATGTTGTTGACAAAAAGAATAAATTGCGTCGTTCGTTTCTATCTTTTCTTACCCGCGTGTATGCGTGTGTGTTTGTGTGTGTACGTCCAGAGAAGTGATGATGTTTGATCTTAGTGACTCCGTTACCCACGAAAAGTATATTGCCAATATTTCGATATCTTTGTTGACTTTCACGACGAACGTGACTCTAGCGAATTAATGACAAAATTATGACGTTTCACAGCCACACACTCACACATTGTAACACAGATTCAGACTTCGTAACAAAATGAGAAGGAAAGAAAACAATTTAAACTTTTTTTTCAATTTTTAATATTGTAAACTTTTCCAGTAAAATAACATACAATATTCTTTTGTTAACTACTTCTTTCGAAATGGAATGAAGGCGCCTCTCCATGCAATTCGTTCGGTTTTGCCAAGCCTCGTCTGCCAACTTTCCATTAGGAACCGTTCGCAGTAGGCGAAGAGTGTCTCCCACCGCTCGTCGATTATCTTATCCGATTCCATGAAGGAGGAGAGTCTTTGCCCGAAAGAGCAAACCTCGTCCGGGTCTTGGCAGCCCTTAAGTCTCTGTTC